GGCAGAAATATGTGCTGAAGGCCTAGCCTTATGCACTGATATGAAATTGAAAAGACAAATAGATAAACAAAAGCTCACCAAGAAAAAAGAACTAGGAGATTTCTGTAAGCAATTTGGCTATTACTTAGATAGAAAAAATATGCCTGATTATATACAAAAGAAAAAGAAAGAGGTTTGGTAAAAAATTTAATAGAGAGAAAATTAGGAAATAGGGCTGGTAAGTGGAGAGTTGCGAAGAGAGTACTATCTATGTCAAACCTGAGAGCCACAAGGGAGACGAGACACTTCTGCAGCCTAAAATCTCCACCCCAATCTCCGCAATTCAGTCATAAACAGAGCGCAAGGAAAAGATTTTGCCTTTTTCTAGCTCTGGCGCACCATTGCAAAGAAGGTGACTCCAGGAAATCTCACATTAGTACATGATTGTTTTTTTGTATCTTTTTCATACCCTCCTTATCTCAATGTTTTCGAGGATTTTCTGTCTGTCATGTTTTCTTTCTCCTTTGTGAAATTTTGGAGAAGAAGAAAGTAGCACGTATAAGGTCTTGTGTGTAATAGGACAAGTTAATCTAAGTCGCTAACAAACTGTTTGAAGCAATGTTTGAAAATTCGGCTGCCCAACCTCCTAGGCGGCCCGGAGGCCAAAACGCCTAGGCGGCGCCCCGAGGCAAGGAGGCTGAGGGTGGAAACTGCCCTTCGCTGGGGCTATTCTGGGATTTTCTCCTAAAAAGGGGGGAAAAGGATTTGGGGGGACATTCTAGTCCCCCATAACCCCTCTTGTGCATCCTTGAGAGAGAGGAACTCTAAAAAAAAAATTGGGATTTGAGATTTCTTGCACGATTGAGATAATGTTTGCAATGGTCGCATAAGAGGACTTTGGGTGACCAATTCAGTCGATATCGGTTTTATTTTGAAAAGGCTAGTACAATACAATATTTGAATTAAGGTTTGGTATTTTTTAATACAGTATATTATGTTTTGAATCATTTGATATTCTTTTGCTTTATTTCTTTTATGAAATTTTTACATGTGTGTAGACGAAAGCTTGAAATGTTTTGTGGGTATTTCCTGGTTTGGACCTATATCGAATTCACTTTGAAAAGCATTGTCCAATACAAAATTTGAATTAGGTTTAATAGATTTTTCCTTGTATAATGTGTTATAATTTGATGACATAGAATTGTCATTTTAAGAAATTGTCATTTTAAGATATTTGGGGTGGTGATAGTGATGTCATAGAATTGCCTTTTACTTTTGATGGTTGTGTTAACAATTTATGTAAATGTAATATGCTAATATGACATTTGAGTTTTGTTGCAATTTGATGTCTGTATCAATATAACTATAACTATAACTATTTATATTTATATATATATATATATATATTATCTGGATATACCAAGAGAGATGTAGGGTCTAATGAGGCTACTACAAAATATTTACTCATGGGTGGGGCAAGCTCTTCTAATCTGGTTAATGGTTTCTCTTGGCTATACGGCTGATCCGGGGGAGACCTGCTCGACTATATTTGGGCTTGAGACTCATGCAAAAGGCATTTTCCGCTCATGGAAAGTCCTGGAAAAGCACGTTTGCTGCAGGGAGAATATGACGCAAACAAACGTGTGGTGCTACTAGCATATGGGGAAGTCTTGTTGACATGGTTGAGATTGTAATGCTGACTACGATGGTGGTGATTCGTATGATGGGGGATCCACCACAGGTGTTGTATTCAAGCCTGAGGCAGCTGCTGCCGCCCGATGTAGCAAGAACCGACCTACTGGCGCTCTCTCCTCCATGAAGGCTGGATATATATACATCTATACATATATATATATATATATATATATATATATATATTATTTATTTTTTTTTTTTTTTATTTATTTATTTATTTATTTTCAGGTGCTTTGGGGCTCTAAACCTGCCCTAGAAACTCCCGAGGGGCCTAAACCCCTGCCCTAGGAACTCCTTTTAGGGAGGAGGTGGGGAAATAAAAAAGGGAGGGGGAGGGGGCTATACTTCTCCGTGAGTACCAACCCGACTTTTTAAACATTGGTTTAAAATTCTACCCTAGCACCCACTGACCATGCAGCTGACATGGTATTCCATTTTCACCTACAACATAAGGGCTTCCAATTACCCCATATCTGGATCATGTATAAATACGAGGAGAAATCAGAAGGCTATTCAGTAACCGTTATGTTGAAGTCATTGCCTTTTCCTATGAAAGAAATCAAAGTGAAGGTAACATGCATGAAAGATATCAATGCCTAGATCAATGAAGCAATGACGCAATGTTAAACCATGTTGGTTTACCTTTGCAAGTTTCAACTTGCCATAGACTTCACTGTAGGAATGAAAAAGCCCAGGATCATCAGATTTCCGGGGTTTCATTAGGCTCATCACAACTGCTTTCTTTGTCATGTAATAAATAATGTCATTTATGAGGTGGGTTACCACATTTCCTATAGAGTTCCTCAGGACTACATGACTTTGTAAGTTTTAGGGTCTGATGGTTTAATATTATTCACTGAGCTCAAAACATCTGGCAAAGGGTGAACATGTATTCAGATGCATGGCACTGACCTATGAAATCTTGAAAGTAGATCCTGAGACCTAAAGCATATATAAATTCAAACAATTACAGCACACCAAGTCAAATCTTATTAAAAAAATTCAAAACAATATAGAAAAATGAGAGAGCAAAAAACAACAATGATCAAACACAAATGGAAAGAAAAACACAGTTGCTTCATTTCAATTTTATAATTGACATAAAACAACTCATGTAGGTGCAATCCATTTATAACCAAAAACGTAAACGCGTGGGGGACACACACGCACAGGCACATGCATAAGCACACATACACGCATGCACACACACGCATACACATAAAACCATAATTATCTCAACTTGAATTGCATAGAAGCTAAAGAATGTGCACACACATACACATATATATCATTAAAACCATAATTATCTCAATTTGAATGGCATAAAAGCTAAAAAGTGTGTACCAGGGCAAGAATCGGAGCTACAGAGCTGTGAAGAACCACCATTCGCAGTCTCCTCTAATCTCTCATCTTGAGAAGCTTGCATTGAATGACATCTTCGACAACTCTTTAAAACTTTCTTCAATCTCTTGTACTCCACATGTGAGAACTTATCCAGGAATCTCTCCTGGTCTCCATGACGATATTCAGTGAATGTTTCCCCAAATTTCATTTCAGAAAGAAGTGATTAGAGACCCCTAATCAAAATTCAAATGTTCAAAAAATAAGGATACGAAATTTTAAATGTTCAAAAATTTGAAAAGGATGGACCAAATGAGAAATGTAATCCAACCCCAAAAATAACAAGAATTATTTGAAATTCATTTTCAAACTAGTGATCAAAGGACCTAAGGAACAGTCAATTTCGAAAATAATAATAATAAAATAAAATAAAAAAGAGCAGACCAAAACCCTAAAAGATATGTAGAAGGCAAATTGGTGGTTTTGTCAGTGAACCAGCCGGTTCCCCCCGATATATGTTGGGAACCGGACTGGCCGTACCGATACCCAATCCAGATTGGACAATTCCGATCCGGATCGGCGATTTTTAAAACTTTGCTTCATACTAAACAATATGCTAAAAGCATCAACATATACAAAACTTCATGCATCAACATATACAAAACTTCATAGGAACCTATATCTTTTGATCTAATTTAGGAAAGCCCATCAAAATGCACATGATCATGAGTTAGAATAGTTTTTTTTTTTTGGGTAAGTGAGTTAGAATAGTTGAAACAGGTAAAATGTTAAACAGTTGATAAGTTATGTGTATTTTGATAACTTTCCAATGTTTCCCCAAATTCCATTTCAGAAGCAAGTATATGTTGACCTCTGACCAAAGGTTTAAGAATATGGGGATAGGAATTATAACTACACAGTGATCCCCAAAGCTCTCCCTAGGACATCTATTAATTACTTGGGTTAATTCCAGCATCCCCAAGTCTCTTCTCTCTAAATCCACACTCATAATTTGCCCAGCTCACTTTCTAGTGATCCAAAAACTCTCTCGCAGTCTCACTAAACAGAATTGTTTTAGGTTATATAAACATAATCCCCAAATTTTCTCTTATTAACCCACAGTTTTGTTCGACATTGTCCCAGGCCATTTTGCAAACACTCATTGCAACTCCGTCATATGTTTGAAGTCAACCATATGAGCCAACAAACAACTTGATAGATTTGGTAGAGAAACTTCAGTCGCTGTTCCAATGCAACAATAGATTTTAAGAGAAGTATACCAATGGCATCGCCTTGCATGAGGAAATGGTGCATAAACATCGAGGATCTGTTTTTGCAAGAGTCATGCATCACATCTATAATGGGCAGTCAGGCATAAGTACCTTGACTTGGACACGAAGACCATACATCTGTAGTGAGGGTCCTGCGACTAGGAATTCCCTCTAATTCCTCGTACAAATTTCCTCATCTCCTTTCTCATAAAATTCCACTATGTCAGATTTTATGGTATGATTGGAAAGCATCTTAATAATTGTTGATTTCTTAGAAAATATCTACAGCCAGTGTGTTCTTCTACTATTTTAAAAGGGTACTCGTGTAAAACGACCATATTTGCAAGATCATTTTGACATCGCTCTTGATCAAATTTAAATTTCACCAAACTTCCTTCCCCTTTCATCAAAGATGCTAGTAATAACTGCTGTCACGAAATTACAAGCACTCACTTCGGACATATTTCTAAATGTGCCTTTGAATGACTATTACCATGTGTACTAGATCCAATTAGCTATTTGTGACAGTGCTACATGTTACTTTTAAACTTCATGCTCTGCTCTAACGTTTCAAATTCATCTGATACAAATGAAAACGATTTTGATTTAGCGGTCCATCATCTCTAATGTGCCATATTTGCTCATCACTCTCTCTTTCCCCATCTAGTGATGGATATTTTCGCACCTAAAAAAAAATAAGAGAGAAACATTTGAACAAAAAATAAAGGATTGTTCTCATGCCAGGTATTTCACATTCTAAAATCAGCATTATCATCTTTAACAAGAAAACTAAGTAGCAATAATTATAGCAACTTCATTATGTGATACAGATAAAATGATGGCCATATGAAGTACTAATAACGCCATAACAATATCATGTAAATAAATACTGAACTACAAACTGCGCAGGCACAACCTAGAAACAATTCATAAACAGATGTCAATATAGGATAAATTTCCACTCCATACAAATCCCATCTAATCTAGAGCAAAAAAAATGGAAATATACAAAAAAACCAAAACCTTAATTAAAAAACAAAGTATTAAAATGGATATGGAACGTATTTAACATGTCGAGCTTTAACATCGAACTAGAAACTGAAGAAAAGATTGAGGAAAGCAGGTTGCAGATCCTATAAAAAGAGGACAAATTGAGACAAGAAAACATTATCCCTAAATCAAACAAGAGCCTGAACCCAAATCCCAATTCTGTAACCCATAGAGATGTAAAAATCTAACCCTGAATAATAAGAAAATAAAATAAAATTTGCAACGACCAAGTTACGTAAATGTGAATCCCAAGAAAGAAAACACATAGCTCCATCATATACTGCTTCAAGCAAACCATGATCAAATACTGAAAAGTGATAGTAATAGAGAGACAAAGAGATTGAAATAGGTTACTTATGATTTCCCTCTATAAGGGGAGAAGGTCACATAATCAGATTAGTGAAGTCATCCAGGCAGACACCAGAGGCTTTGAGTTAGGGTTAGGGTTTTCAGCTTGCAAAGCCACTGGGGATGACTGATGCTGAGCTTCAGAGATTTTTATTTTTACCTACCGACCCAATTAATTGGGAAGAAGCTCCGACAATGATGATCGATTTTTTTTTCTCAAATTCCTAAACTATCCAAAAATAAATAAAAAGTCTTGGTGTTTTTCGTTTTTGAGTTGAGGTTAGCATTCGTTTTTTGTTGTTTTAATTTATTTTATTTTATTTAATTTTGAATTTAGCTTGAGATAATTTTATTATCAACATTTTAGGTGCATCTCAAACTTCTGTCAGCAAATGTGGGTTCGTTTGGGTACCTAGAAATATTTTACTAGCGTAATACATTACCTGCAAATGGATTGTTACTGTCTGGGAAGTATCTAGATGCAACCTGGGAAATACACTGCTATTATTTGACGATGTTTAGAAGAAACTTGGGAAATGCATTACCACCATTTTGGCTAGGAAATCCTATGTTAATTTTATCTATAGTAATGTGGTTTTTTTTAAGGGAAAAGTTTATATAGAGCCTTGGCTCTAAACAATCAAATTATAGCCTACCTCAAAACTTTCACTAGAAGAGATTGTTTTGATGCCCAAATGTCATCAAATTGATCATCTCGACATCAAGATGTATGGACATGAGAAAAAAATGGAATTCAAGTTTTAGAACTAGTACAATCTTGTAAGCTTTAAATTTTATAACTAATGATGAAAATATAATTTAAGGCTATCATAAAACTTTCCAATATTGAAATTATATTTCTCAACACTATTTGAAGGTGGGCTCTATACAAATTAATTTGATTGTTTAGAGTCTCGGCTCTATAAAAACCGCACCCTTTTTTTAATACCTGTTTTTTTTTTCCTTTTTAGGATAAATAATCAATTAAAATTACTTTGTTTTCTAATATGGTTTTTTTAATACTTTTTTTTTCCTTTTCAGGATAAACAATCAATTAAAACTAATTTGTATTCTAATACATGAAGGTAATATCCACATGGATTAATTTTGTCCCTCTTCTCCTTATAATTATTCTATAATTTATATTATTCCGTTAATCAGGGAATGGCATCACATAATCATATAAAAGAGAATCGTGTTCTGCAAGGTCTCACATAAAAGAGATCCAAAAAGCTAAATATTCTATTCCATAGATCATCAATGTGTTCTCCATCTCCTTTTTTTCTCCACATAAGATAGGCCATTAAAACCCATTCATGGATAGTTTGGTATCTGAGGACAAAGAATCATTGGCCAGAATAAAATCTGGAGGCAACTGAATGAGGAATATGTAAAAAATCCACATAATGGAGAAGATGTACTGGCAACTTTGGCTCCATGACTACTATAACTACCACCAAAAAAGAAAGGGGATAACCCATGACTATTGTACACAGAAACTGAAATTTATTCACTAAAACACAAGTTTAATAAGACACCCAACAGTTACCTCTGCCACAACCAAGACACCCAACTGTGAACATACAGAATCATTCTAATTGAAAGCCAGACTTATCAGCGGCTGCAATTACATTGAACCACTAATTCAAACCAATGTGGCAATTATAAGAATGTCAAGAACCAACTAAAACACAGGTCCAATAAGACCAATTAAAACAACAACTAAAGCCAAAAATATGAAAGAAACAAATAGCTTCAGGAACAAATAGCTTTAGGATTATATAATTCATGGACAATCCCAAAATTAGGGAGGGAAGAAAGGCGTTCGACTCAAACCGGCTGCAAATGGTAGTTGTACGTTTGGGAGTATAACAGTACATACAATAATTCCAACCAGAAAAAGAGTTCATTGTAATAAAAATTTGAGGAAAGCATGGTCTCAGAAAACTCAAAGTCCTTTCATATTACACCGATCTTCGTGGCAAATGGAAATGAAATTACTGCAATCAATCAACACCAACCCATAGTCCGCCATTAAATGACATTGAATTTGTTCTGCACTGCCCAATCTCGTATGGATTTCGAACAAATCATGAGAATGAAATGGAATTCAATTTAACCAAATCAGTATATGACCTTGATGAAGTCCATCATGATAAGTCACTAAATAAACCTATCCAATGATGATAATCTCATTTATCGCTTTTATGTCTATTATATATTTTTGGGGATTTTTACTGTTTACGTGAACAAAAACACACAAAAACAGTCAGTGGGAAGGAAAAAAAGGATTGAGCGGGATAATTCTCCAGTTTCCCATCATTGACCACTACTCCACAAATAATCAAGCCATGGGCGAATTTTAATCCAGAGTTGGAAGTGATAGCCAAAGGAATTTATCGCCTGAACAATTAACAGCAAATTGAATCCAATGGAAAGGAAATGAAAGTTACCTGGTTTAAGAGCCTACAGGGCAATCATAATTAGGGTTTGTTTGGACCAATTATTTGTAGTGCTTGCTTTCCCTGAGATGAATGCAAAGACTGGCTGGCGTGCAAGAATTCTGAATCGATTTATTTAGATAGAAAAATCATCCATATCTCGGAGGGAGAGAGAGAGTGAATTCCTTCTTCAGATAAAATCAAGAGAGAAACAGAAGAGATAGATATGGGTTAGGGCTTAGCAGGTGATGCTCTGCTAGGTTTTGAGGCGAACTTGAGGGGAAAGTGGTTGTCGGAATAGTTCCTGATTTTTTCGCGGCGAATAAGGGGGTGGGTATTTAATGGGCAAGTGACGCGCGTCACATATTACCAGTAAAGCGCGTAATGGTTAATAAATTTGCGGAAATCTTAGAGGTAAATGTAGATAATTAACGTACCCAAAAACACTCTAAATATCCTATTTCCTTGTAATTTATTTCTTCGTAATTGATTACTCTAAATATTTTATTTCCTTCAGCTCGTGTACAAAATTTTACGATGACTTGAAAATACACATTTAACTCTAATTAAAAAATTTAAAAGTTTTGATGACTTAAAAATACATATTTAACTTTAATTAAAAAATTTAAAATTTAAAAAAGAATTTTGTTAGGCTACACCACTTAGAGGAGTATACCCTTAAAGTCTGCGATATTTTTTGATAGGTAGATACCCCTTGAATTGTAATAAAAAATTTTTTAGGTAAAAGCATTTTTTTCATTTAGAATGATAGAATGGATATTCCTATAAAAAAATATGGATATTCTATTAGTAGTTAAAAGAGGATTAATGCATCTTATGGGTGATGTCACATATCATGTTATAATGTCATTGTCTAATAATTACTTAAATATCCCTAAACAAAAAGTTAATACACTCTAGGATAAGGGTATCTATTACTACACTTTAGGATAAGGGTATCTAAGTGTCAAAAAAATGTTTAGGACTTTTAAGGGTATACACTACCACGATAGCCTAACAAAACCCAAAAAACAAGGATCGTTTTAAAATATATTATTTATCTTTTGTACATGAATGTTACAATTATTTTTATCGCTTAAATTTTAAAATAAGCAGTTGTAAGAGTGTCATTGAACAGACAAACTTTCACATAAATAATTCTCGGGCTTCTTGTCTCATCTCAAGCTATCCAATTTGACATCTAATGAGTAGGAATAATTGTGAGCTCCATATACAAAAGATAAATGGTTTCTTTATAGTTACTTCTTTAAATAAATGCAAAAAATAGATCTATAAACACTTGAAAATAAAGTTTTAGATAACTTGATAGAATATGTACTTATTTAGGACTTCAAATTTATTTTTTGGACACTCTTGTATTGGATTTGTGAGGTGCAACCTATTTCGTATAATAAACCTTATACAAACTTTTCTATAGGGAACACCCGCAAGAGCATATTGTGCATCTACTCCATCAATCAAAAAATGCATAATATGTTTTATACTTTGAGTTGAGGAAAAAAGATACTATTATACTTTAGGAGTATATTTACTCCCTCGGGAAACAACCTAGGATTATCTTTAGGATCCTAAATTTTGGAGATATAACATCTTCAACCTATATATTAATACCAATAAAAATTAAATTTCATGATTGAAACCTATACACACTTGAAAAAATAATAATGTCTCAAGATTGGATAATGTCTCAAGATTGGATAAAAGCTTTTCAATTTTTAGAGGGTTCAATCTAAGAGTTGGAAAACTCATACTTCAGATTTTTTTCTTTTGAGACTGATTTTTAGGCGGTTCCCAAAATTTCAAATTGAAAAAAACTTTCCAAGTAGGTATTCTAACGGGGGAGTAAATATAAACTATACACTTGCAGAGTAGAGTATACTTGTCCTCATACTAATATGTTTTATAAGGATGCGGTTAGCATGCGGCTAAGCCCACACATGTAGAAATGTGGGTATGGCAATAAATATATTTTTTGAATATAAATTGATATTAATTTTTAGAAAATATATAATGTTTAACATGGAGATCATGAATATGGAAAAATAATAATTGAAAAGTAGAAATAATAATTATATTAAAAAAATTTGGGCCATTAGTTACAATTATTTTTTGATGGACCACCTATTTGCATCTATCTTTTAGATGCATGATTTGTACCTCTGGACCACATATTGTAGAAATATGGTCCAACCCGCATGAAACAATTATTGGTTTTATAATTAGTGTATTTAGAAAAGTCTTTTTATAGGGTGCGACTTCTATAAGGTTGCAACCTTAAACAATCCAATTAAGGCGCACCATAAAATTTTATCATAACATGTAATTTTCTTGTAAAAAATTTGTAGTATTATCTTAAAATCTATTTTCATACCTAATTAGAAAATTTTAAATTCCAAAAATGGTTAAAACCAAGAAGATCTATAAATACATGAAAATCTTGAAATGGACGGTCTAGATAATGTGTTGCAAGATGCACTATTTCCAAGATTCAAAAACTTTTTTTTTTCATATTCATAGATCTCAATGTCGAGATGATTGATTAGAGGGCAACATTAAAACAACGTTTTCGATAGATTTTTTAGGTGCATATGTGATTCTACATTTTAAGGTTGCAACCTTATATAAACTTTTCCCCCTTTTATATGCACGTTTTACCCTCACTTCTACCGTATTTTTTATGTGTTTTATTTATTTAAATAGCCTCTAATTTGAAACTTCAAGTTCTAAACTGACTTCTTGTAAACTGACCTGGAACTTCCAAGTTCCAATCCAATCTTCACTCGCAAGACAAAACAAGCTACCGCTAGTTCACCTATCATTTTTATTTTTTCCTTTTTTTTTTTGAAATGATTGTTTCAGAATTCAAGTTCCTCTAAAACGAGAGACAATTGAGCCAATTTGAAACTTGAACTTCGAACCGATTGACTTCTGTTTTTGTGTGTGAGTTAGTTTAGTTCTAAACATGTTCACTTATGAAAAGTCAGTTAGGGACTTGAAGTTCTATAACAATATATTATTGATTAAAGAAAAAAAAAAAAAACTATCCTAATATGGAACTTGGAGTACTGACCAATGCGTATTCCGGAAAAAGACCAAAAAAGAGACCTAAACACAAAATGTGCAGTTTGTATAGGGCCTAGGCTCCAAACAATCAAATTAGAGCCTACCTTCAAATGGTGTCGAGAAATGGGGTTTCAATATTAGAAATCTATGTGATACCCTAAAAATATATTTCCATATTTATTTATAAAATTTAAAGCTGTAAAAATAGTATAGATCGACAGATCTATGAAAACTTGAAAATCTTAAAAATTGACGGTCCAAAAATGTGTTACAAAATATACTATTTCCAAAAATTGAAATCTATTTTTTTTCTCATGTCCATGCATTGTGATGTCGAGATGATCAATTTGAAGATATTTGGGCATCCAAACAACCTCTTCTAGTAAAAATTTTGCGGTAGGCTCAAATTTGATTGTTTAGAGCTTCGACTCTATATACATTTTTTCCAAATATAAAAGGTGTGTAGTTTGTATGGAGCCGAGGCTCTAAACAATCAAAGCAAAGCGCACCTTCAAATAGTGTCGAGAAATATGTTTTCAATGCTAGAAATCTTCGTCATGGTCTTAAAATGTACTTTTACATTTAATTATAAAAAATTAAAGCTTAAAAAATAGTGCAGATCGAGCATATCTATGAAAACTTAATGTCAAGATGATCAATTTGAGGATATTTGGGCATCAAAACAATCTCTTCTAGTAAAATTTTTGAGGTGGGCTCTCATTTGATTGTTTAGAGCCTCGGCTCTATATAAACTTTTTTCAAATATAAAAAATGAAGGACATGTTTAAACATTACTAATTAGAAGGGATTAGGCCCTTTAAAATTAAAAACTTAGATTTTTTTTTCATTAGCTTTCTCGAGCTTTTTAATTGAGTTAGAGATACATGATTAGGGTTAATTTTGGGTCTAAGGTTAGAATTTTTTTTGGCAAAATAATTAGTAACAGTGATTACAATTTTTTTATAAAAATTTTTATACTAAAATTTTATAAAAATTTTTATACTAAAATTTTATAAAAAAATTTAAGGATATTGTTTAGAGAAAATTTGGATACTATATCTTATAATTAGCAATATTTAAAAAATATTCCTCGTATTTTAGATTTTTCACTAATGTCCTTTTTTACATTTTTTTAGTTGAGTTGGAAATGTTGAGATGGATGAATGACAAGACAATAAGGGATAGAATTCCAAGTGATAAATTCGGAAGAACTTAGGTCTGGCCCCAATAGGTGATAAATTAAGAGAAAGTAGATTTAGATGGGATAACCATGTGCAGCGCAAACCTAGTACAACACATGTTAGGAAGTGTGACTTCGTTTTAAGTAAAAGAATAAAAAAGGTTAAGAGGTAGGCCCAAAAGGATATGGTTGGAAGTAGTGGGAAAAAAGATAGAGACTTATAACCTCACTGATGGTATGACTTTTAATAGAGCAGAATGACGGATCAGGATTCGTGTAGCCGACCTCAAATAGTTAAAAAAAAACTATAATGATGATGTCCTTTTTAACATTTTTATTTTTTTCAAAATACCTTCGTGTTGGTATTAAAAATGACACCATTTCACACTAGTTTTATTGAAAACCATTTTGGTTATAATGGAGAAACCAAATTTGGAATTGCCCTTCCATTAATATGTTGATATGTTGGCCCTTAATTATGTGCACCTTGATGGGCTCTTTCAAAGGAGGACAAAAAGGTAGCAAGGTGCAGTGAAAAAAAAAAAGGACAAAAACTGCTGAATGAACCATTCTATTGAAAAAGAAAGAAACAAAAAACTACAAAAAGGGAGTGGTGAATGTTTTTTAGTCAATCTCTAAACTATGTTATAATGAATTGCTCTTTTTAGGGTCGTTTGGAGCATTGAACTTAATATGTTGTTGCAATTGTAAATAACTAACTAATCAATCTTAATTAGTTATGGAAAAAGATGAAGAAACTATCTGTATCATTCATTTTATTTGGACAGTGTAGATTTGACATTATTTTAAAAAGTGTTATGTTTGATATTATCTTATATTATCTTAAAAAGCATGTCACATCAAAGATATGTCATATCTATACCGTCCAATTAAAATAGATAATATAGAACATGCAACCTTACTACTATAAATATTTGTTCGCATCATGCAAACCACACCCGTTAGTTACTGTCTTGCGCGACTATATATGCAAGATAAGTTGAGCATCTTCATATTTAGTAATATTTTGTAATCACTTAGAATATAAATGTATCCCAAGAACTAAAACAATAAATTTTCCTCGAAAGATAACCCTTGAACAATCACATTGTTCTTGGTTGGCAAGGTTATTGGCAAGAGCCATATGATGAAAATAAAATAAAATAACATATTTTTTTTTGGGCATTTATACTTTGAGACCATCTATTTTTGGTACAAGAATGTTACAATCATCTTTAGCTATTAGATTTGAAATTTGAATACTAAGAACAATACACAGAGTTTGAGAAAAAATTTATTAAGCACTATGCATAATCAATGGCAATATCCTTAGCCATTTGATTTTACATTTTATGGTTAGGACTAAATGTGGCCTCCTTCTGTCAAACGTAAATGGTCATATCTGATATTTTATCTTTTATCTTTCTAAATACCACATAGAAGTAAAGAAGAAAAGAGACAAATATTTTCTAAAAATGTCTATTGGAAATGTATACTAGAAGACCATTTACCTTTAGTAAAAAGATGCCACAATCACTTACATCACTACATGTGAAATTTAACATCTTGGGCATGTCACAAACCTTGAAAAAATTTCTTTTAAACTTTGAGCCTAGTACGTAGAACAAATATATCTACCCACTTCCACATCCAATGGTCAATATTAATTGTGACCTTTATGTACTAAATATAAATTGCATTAATATATGTTCTTCCTTGTCTTTTCACCTATATTGAAAGTGAGAGAGCCCACAACCACATGCACAATTGATTTCTCCATTTTCATAAATTTACACAGATACCCATAAGATAAACTATAAAAAGAACGGAAAGTATATAATGAGACCATCTACTTTTGGTACAAAGTAGTCACAATTATTTTTAACCATTGGATGTGAAATTAGGTGGTTGCATTTGTTTCATTGACCAAGCTCAAAGTTTAAAATGAATTTTCTCGAACTTTGTAACACACCCACGCTATCAAATTTCACATCGGATGGTTGTAAGTAATTATGACCTCCTTATACCAAAAAGGCAAATGGTGTACAATTCTTAAAAAGAAAGCTAAATTCATTAAATAAACCATATTGTGAGACAGAACCCAACCACACTCCACAATATTATTTCTCCATTTTTATGAATTTACACAAAGATACCCATCAAATAATTATATGGACAAAGAGATAAAATCATGAAATAAACTGTGATATGAGAGAGAGAGAGACCACAACCACACACCATAATATCATTTCACTATTTTCATACATTTACATAGACACCAATCAAATAAACTATACAAAGTAAAACCCTATCAAACGCATGAAATCATATGGACCAATTCTCTCACAATTCATCATGGTCTAGCAAATCTTCATCATCCTTCCTTTTCTTACAACCCCACCTCCATGAGCAACTGGAGCTGAACATGTCAAGCCTTTTAGACTGTGTGGACATGATAGTAGCAGTAGAAGGAGCCTTAGAGAGAACAACAGCATAACCATCATCCATATACTCAGTCCCCTCAGGAAAGAGTTGCCATATTAGGGCTCCACCTCCTCCACCCCCTCTTTTGGAGGACTCAAGCACCGGCTTGTAAACCGTCGCGACGAGATTGTCTCTAAAGCTGGTATTGAAGCCGGAGTCTCGAGATGAGACCCCAAACTCAGCGAAGAGTACGGGCATGCCAAGGGCGTTCTCGGCATCCTCTATGTGAGCATTTGTCCACGATTTCACGAAGGTTATGTGGTCGTCGGTGATCGATTGTGAGACCCTGTCATTATGATTTTTATTTCTATTTTGTATTCATGACATTAGGATCTTCGTTGATGAACATGCAAACTTGCATTTCATGCACACACATACAGAGAGAGAAACTCACCAAGTATCTGCATATATGTGGACAGACGCGAAATCGATGCCAAGAGCCCGATGATTCCTTATGAAATCAGTGCCAACTTGTTGGGAGAAGGTGTTGGGATTGAATTGCAGCCTACCCGGAGATGAAGGCCCATAAAATCCTTCGGAACCTATCTCTAACATGTGCAGCGGGTCGATGGACTTCACATACATTGCCATCTCTTGTATCCACACCTGTATAACATATACCATATAATATTGTAATGAATGAATCGGTTTTTTAGTTATCAAGACTAGACTGGACCACCTGGTCCAACCGCTTGGACTGTAGATCGGTACCTTGGCTGGTGCGGTCTAAAGCGAAAATTTGACTCAATAAAAATAAGTATTCATCCGGTTTTTATTGGTCAAACTATCTGATTTTGGTTCTCTATTAAAAAAAGTTGAGAAACTATTTTCTAATACATTTTATTTCAAAAACAATTACTCTACTTTTCTTTTATTGAAATTTGGTGCAATGCGAATCAAACCAATTTGGTTAGACCAGACCTGGTCTGATCCTAATAACTATGGTCTGGGTTTGTTTATCCTGGACCTAACCTGACCTGATTTTCGCCTCTACCCTCATTGACCCGCGCAAAATAATGAACCCCATCTCATTCTCCCAATTTATGTGTTACTCCACAAAAACTTGATTGCAAAGTTCAATAGATTGAAATTTCAATTTGAACTCTCAAATTAAAAGTTCAGAACACAACAAACCTGTAATTTGTCTCCAGAAGGGTCTGATAAACACCTAGGCTCGTTCATCAACTCCCAAGCAAAAATGGTGGGATCATCCTTGTATGTAACATTTGTGATTGTATTCACTCTTGTGAGAACTTTCTACATTGAGCAACAAAGATGATGAGGTAAAATATAATGAGATGAAAATTCTGGAACTGACCAAAAGTTGAAAACATAAAAGAGAATGTGCAAAAAAAAAATAGGGAGAGCCTGAGGCAATAAACGTCCATTCGTCCATTGAATCTGGCGCGATCTATTGGTCACGATTGTAATTTGTATTTGAATTTAATCTTTTCTGCAAATTCAAATCACTTGAAATTTGGAGCATTTATTCTTGAAAAATAGGTATATCAAAAAAATAATTTACGAAAACTAAATAGATCAAAATACCCCTAAAAGTTTTAGGGGTATTTTGGTTAATTTTTTATTTACGAATTATTTTTCTAATATTTTTATTAGGTGCGTCTTGACGAGAAGAGTGGATGTTCCAAATTTCATATGATTTGAATTTCTAAAAAAAAAAAACTTAAAATTCCAATACAAAATGTTGTTGTGACTGTCTGGTCGGCTCAGAGTCAATTTGGATTGATATCTTCCTTTTTTAACGAGAAAATTTATTTTTAAAAAAAAAATTAAAACATAGCCTTAAACCTATAAATAAAAAAAGTTCGGCAAAATCTTTCCCTGATCAAAGTCAAATTTCATATTCCTCAATCCAATCAGACCTTGAATGTTCGGTCTGGTTTGAAATTTATTAGAGAGGGGTAGGACTAACAATCCTTTAGAGAGAGAGAGAGAAAGGAGATAGGGACATTTATTAGAGAGATGGTGGGATTCACAATCTTTTCGTGGAGAGGGAGATTAATTACCCCAAGAAAAAAAAAAAGAGAGAGAGAGATTTATTAGAGGGAGTACAAGATTCACAATCCTTTGGGGTTTAAGGTGGCAATGGGCTAGGTCCCAGACCCAGATTCGGGAAAATATATTATGGGACCTGAACCCAAAAATATAATTTGGGACAAGGACCCAACCGGTCAGGTCCAAGTTTTAAACCCATATCTGGACCGGGAGGAGAGAGAGATGGTGAGACACAATCCATTAGATGGAGAGAGATGATGAAACACATTCCATTAATGGCGGAGAGTGTCTTAGCAAATAGGCGGGGGAATACTGGTAAAAGAAGAACAGGTAAGAGCGTACCTGAACATGGGCTTTGAAATAATTTCTGAGTGTTGGATCGGAGAAGAAATCATCATCAGAAGTGATATTAAGGCCACCGGCTTTTCCCCATTTCACATACTGAGCTTTCCCACCATATGCATCCCAATTGTTCGAGAGGGATAAAATGAGCCGAATTTTGTGTTTCTTTGCTTCACTCAAAACAAAATCTAGACCCTGAAAACCAAAATCCAAAGGGCTTAGAAATATTCGCTAAAATGCATAAGGAATTCAATTTGCATGAGAAATTGAACATCTATAAATAGCTTTCAATATTTATGAATACGATGAGACTTGCTAGCTAACATATAGGATTGTATTTTCATATGAGATTGTATATCGTAAGACTGTATACATTTTGTAAAAGAAGGTTATGATTATTTCTAACGTGAAATCGGACAACTAGGGATGAGTTACAAAATTTGGAAAACAAAAATGCTTAGGCTTTGAGTAAATTATTGATGCACTTCGAAAAGCCCGATATCATATCCGACAATAAAAAATAGATGTGACCTTTTTGTACGAATAATATGCATACTTTTTCCAAGTGTTTTAAAATCCGAATTGATCCAAAATATATTAATAATAAAATAAAATAAAAATAAAAATAGGAATTTATAAGGGACTTAAAAAAACATTAAATAAACTTAAAAAAAACGAATAAGGTATATAAGGGTTTGGATTTAGAAGGAACCCAACACAACTCAATAAGCTTAGAATATATATATAATATATTCAGGGGGGTTGGGTCACAATCCATATCATATCATCCTGGAACCAATTCAATCCCAACTGATTTCCATCCTCATCGATGATTCGGATCACTAATCTTCAGATTTAAAAAAATTAATTTTTCCCAATTATAAACCTTTGAACTATATCTCAGAAAAGATAGCAGCCGAAGTCCTAAAGTTACTAAACACAATAAAAGTTAAATTGGAGATTGATGTGGTCCAAAAATATTGAATAGTCCTCTATTGTCAAATGTAAGTTAAGGCATGTTTGGATCTCGAGTTTTCTTTTATCTGGCTTTAAAATTTTAAAAGGTTTGGTCTGGAAGGTTTGCTTCTTTCACTTACAACCCAGGTTTCCATACCCCATTAAACCCATTTTGGGGTTCAGGGAAATTCCCAATATGAAAATCTATGTTTTAGATCATGTTCTTTTGTGGCCAACTCTCTCTCCATCACAATCCATCATTATCCTCAAATGACTCTATCGACCATGGCTCTCTATGATCATGCAACTGTACCATACTTTCTATTAAAGATGAAAAATATACAATAAGACCACTTAACTTTGGTGCAAAAAAGTCACAATCATCTTTCCTGTCACATATGATACAAAGCAGTTTGGTGTACTTCGCTAAAAAAACTGAACCGGCCTCGAAAATTGACTAAGGGCTAGTTTTGAGTAACCGGTAAATCGGCTGGTTCAACTGGCCTAGCCAAGCAAATTCTGGCCGGACAAAAATATATTAAAAAAATTTAAAGAAAAAAAAGTATATTTAAATTATGATTAAACAAAACATATCCAAATGAAGTTGAAAATTAGTGAAAAAAATAAATCTTTAAAAATCGAATTTGTACAGAGGAGTATTTTTTAAAATTTTCAAACAAGATGGGAAAAATATAAAAATAAATATTCATGACCAAAACATTTTTCAATCTTTGCCAAAATAAAAACATTAAAAAACGTATTACAAACTAATCCCATATTTTTTGAGATTTTAGATATTTCTTAAAATTTATTTCTTAGTTTTGATCTACCAGGCCGGTTTCGAGTTAAATTGGTTGAGTTTTAAATCCCCTGCCGGTTTTGAGTTAAACTAGTTGAGTTTTAAATCCCTGCCAGTCAAAAAATGTCTTAGAAAAATGCAAAATAAATCTAAAAAAATATGGAAATATATTTAAAGTATGATTAAACAAAGCACATCCAAATGAATTTGAAAATTAGTAAAAAAATGGATCTTAAAAAATTGATTTGTAGCTAGGGATATTTTTGAAAATTTTCAAAAAATATGGGAAAAATGTATTCATGGCCGAAACACTTTTCAATCTTTGCCCGAATAAAAACATTCGAAAACTCATTACAAACAAATCCCTTGTTTTTTTAGATTTTATATATATATTAAATTTCTTTCCTAGTTCCGATCTAGTTGGCCGGTTAACAAATCTAAAATATATATATATAAAATTATATTTAGAGCATGATTAAACAAAGTACATCCAAATGAAGTTAAAAATTAGTGAAAATTGGATCTTAAAAAATCGATTTGTACCCATGGGTATTTTTTAAAGTTTTTTAAAAATATGGGAAAATTGCAAAAATAAATATTCATGGCCAAAACACATTACAAACAAATCCCTTGTTTTTCTGAATTTTATATATTTTTTAAAATTTCTTTCCAAGTTCTGATTTAACTGGCCAATTAACAAATCTAAAAATATATATGAAAGTATATTTAAATTATAATTAAACAAAGTACATTAAAATGAAATTAAAAATTAGTGAAAAGAGGATCTTAAAAAATCAATGGTACCTAGGGATATTTTTGAAAATTTTCAAAAAAGATGGGAAAAATATACAAATAAATATTCATGACCAAAATACTTCTCAAACTTTGCCTGAATAAAAATATCCAAAAACACATTACAAACAAATCCCTTGTTTTTTTTTAGTATATTTTTTAAAAATTTCTTTAATAGTTTTGATCTAACTAACTGGTTAACAAATCTTAAACAAATATGAAAGTACATTTAAAGCATGATTAAACAAAACACATCCAAATGAAGTTGAAAATTAGTGAAAAAATGGATCTTAAAAAATTGACTTGTACCCAAGGGTATTTTTAAAATTTTCCAAAAAAGATGGAAAAAATATAAAAATAAATATGGGCCGGTTGCTACATGGCCAAGCCCACCTATGTAGAAATGTGGGCTTCTTAATAAATATATTTTTGAGATGGATTTTAAGACTTAATTTTTAAGGACATGTAATCTCTAAAATCGAGATCATGAATATAAATAAATAAAAAAAATAAAAAACTAGAAATATAATTCTAATAAGAAAATATTTGGACTGTTAGTTTCCATTATTTTTAGATGAAACACCTACTTGCATCTATCTTTAAAATGAATGCTTTACACTTTCTAGACCATATATGTAGAAATAAGGTCCAATCCTCATGAAACAATTTTCCAATAAATATTCGTGGCCAAAACACTTTTCAATCTTTGCCATAATAAAAACATTAAAAAAAGCATTACAAACAAATCCCTTGTTTTTTGAGATTTTATATATATATTTTAAATTTCATTCCTAGTTCCAATCTAACCAGCCAGTTAACAAATCTAAAAAAAAAAAAATGAAAGTATATTTAAAGCATGATTGAACAAAGCACATTCAAATGAAGTTGAAAATTAGTGAAACCATGGATCTTAAACAATCGATTTATACCGAGGGATATTTTTAAATTTTTCCAATAAATATTCATGACCAAAACACTTTTCAATCTTTGCCAAAATAAAAACATTAAAAAACTCATTACAAACAAATCCCTTGTTTTTTGAGATTTTATATATTTTTTAAACTTTCTTTCCTTGTTTCGATTTAGTCGGTAGGTTAACAAATCTAAAAAAAAATATGAAAGTACATTTAAAGTATGATTGAACAAAAGCACATCCAAATGAAATTGAAAATTAGTAAAAAAAAAAAAATGCATCTTAAAAAATCCATTTGTACCCAAGGCTATTTTTGAAATTTTACAAAAATATGGAAAAATGTAAACATAAATATTCATGGCCAAAACACTTTTCAATCTTTTCCGCAATAAAAATATTAAAAAACACATTACAAACAAATCCCTTGTTTTTTGAGATTTTATGTATTTTTAAAAAAAAATTTCTTAGTTCCGATCTAACCGGCCGATTTCGAGTTCAGTTGGGTGAGTTTGTGAACACCGGTTTTAACCATATATAGAGTAACCCACTTACTCATATGAACATATGAGCCCAACGGCTTAAATTGAATATGGGTCGATCTGACGGTCACGACCTCATTTCGTGTTTTAATTTTAATTTTTTTTACAAATCTAGATAATTTGAAATGTTAGGCATTCATTATTCTCATCAAGGCGCACCTAATAAAAATATTTAAAAAATAGTTCACAAAAAATAAATTGATCAAAATACCCCTGAAACTTTTTAGGAGTATTTTTGTTATTTTATTGATTACAATTTTGTTTTTGGTATTTTATAATATTATCTTATTTTTGAAGAAAACACACCTAAAATTTCAAGTTATTTAGATTATAAAAAAAAAAAATTTAAATACGAAATGAAGTCGTGACTGTCAGATCAGCCTAGATTCAATCTAGGCCGTTGGGATCATATGTTCATAGGAGCTAATTGGCTAATCT